ACAGGTAGCACTTAGACAGGAAGACTCAGACAGATACCACTTACACAAGTACCACTTAAACAGGTACCAATTAGACAGGGTAGAACTTATACAGGTACGACTTATACAGGTACCACTTAGACAGGTACCACTTAGACAGGTATAACTTACACAGGTAGAACTTATACAGGTACCACTTAGACAGACACCACTTACACATGTACCACTGAGACAGGTACCACTTACACAGGTACCACTTACACAGCTACCACTTACACAGGTAGAACTTATACAGGTATCACTTTGACAGATACCATTTACACAGGTACCACTTACACAGGTACCACTTACACAGGTAGAACTTATACAGGTACTACTTAGACAGGTACCACTTAGACAGGTACAACTTAGACAGATATCGCTTAGACAGATATCACTTCGACAGATACCACGTATACAGGTAGCACTCAGACAGGAAGCACTACGACAGATACCTCTTACACAGGTACCACTTACACAGGTACCACTTACACAGGTACCACTTACACAGGTACCACTTACACAGGTAGAACTTATACAGGTACCACTTAGACAGATACCACATACACAGGTTACACTTACACAGGTACCACTTACACAGGTAGAACTTATACAGGTACTACTTAGACAGATACCACTTACACAGGTACCACTTAAACAGGTACCACTTAGACAGGTACCACTTAGACAGGTAGAACTTATACAGGTACCATTGAGACAGGTACCACTTAGACAGGTAGAACCTAAACTGGTACCACTTAGACAGATACCACTTAGACAGGTAGTTCTTAAACCGGTAGCAGTTAAACAGGTAGCTCTTAGACAGGTACCGCTTATACAGGGATAACACCTGGACAGGTACCACGTAGACAGGTGCTACTTAGACAGGTAGTTCTCAAACAGGTAGCTCTTAGACAGGTACCGCTTATACAGGGATAACACCTAGACAGGTACCACGTAGACAGGTGCCACTTAGACAGGTATGAGACTGCTGGATCCAGTGTACATTGTTCGATGTGTGCACAGTGACAGTAACATATACATCGCCACACTTAGACGGTGAAGAACTGTGCCGTCAAGTCATCAACTGTGTATTCAACTGGTTCAGCATACACTGCCGAGGCAGCCATACGCACATTTGTGCAAGTGAAGGTAGGATATATCTGGACATCCACGTGCCAAGAGCGTCTGTAGGCATATCACCGTTTACGCCAAGCACTCTGATGCGCTTGGGTATTAGCGTACTTCGAAACTTCTACTTTCGCATATACAGTACACATATGCAGGGACAAGTTTATGTGAAATTACCGAACCATATATCTGCGTATATGTATATATATTTACTTATAAATAAAAGCGAGTATGTATCGAAGTAAGCCTGCGTGGACACGTACAGTATGAATCAACGTATATGCTATATCACACTAAATTATCTCGATGTGACTGTTTTTCCTTATTAGCAGTCTTGAAATTTGGTGCGAAAAATAGTCGATTACATCAGTGTATGTATGACCCGTATTTTCACATAACATACAAGCATGCGTATACAAAATAACACAAAGGAAAAATGCACGTGTACTTATGCAGTGTAGATTGACGTAGGTGTCATATCATATCAAACTATCAGGATGTAATTCTTGTATTTCGTCCGTTCTTTATAACCAGATGCCTCTATATACTCTATTCTACATCTGTGTGTGCACACCCGCCACCATGCATACGTGCTCACATACACACAATAACAAATAGACCTAATATACGTGGACATAAAAGTATATATCCAGTATAAGTCAACATATGTATTATCATGTCATACCGAACTATCTCGATGAGATTTCTGTACTCTAGCCGTACTCTCAAGTCGAGTGCCTGCAGTGAACCCTGAGGAAACGACAGATAGCCATAGAGACAGAAGTGTTGTAACTCTTCCCATCGTGTGCACTCCGCAACTCAAAATAAATTGTGATTATGTGTTTGCCTAGTTACCTTTTTAGATTGGCAACCATGTAATTGTATGTGATGTATGTGCAGAAGGGCAGAGGGAGAGGAGAGAGAGAGAGAGAGAGAGAGAGAGAGAGTTCAATGATACACGGTTCTGCAGGGGTTTGGGACATCTGGTTAGGGCACTCGTATATATTGTGATATTGTACAGAAGAAAAGGCTGTAAAAATCAAAGCCTCCTACATTATGAGTGATGATACACAAGTGTCACCATAGTGTCAAATGTCAACTCCGGTCAAATGTCAATTGACCGAGTGTCAAGTGTCGATTAAAAGTCGTGTCAAGCCTCAAGTGTCAACTTCAAGTTTTCTGTGTGGAAACTGTTTTTTGTTTTCTATTTTTTTTTCTAAATTGCATGACGTCAGATTGCAGAAGGCTATGATTGCCAGATTAGTGTGACTACTGACTACACAGGACATCAACTCGTCAATTAACTTTTCGGACTCCTGCCTGACTCGGAAGACCTCCTCCCCTGAGTCAATACGGAATGTACCAGTTATGACTATCCTAACTACGTTCATACGGCTATTTGACCAATGACCAGACAATTGTCTATTTATTTGTGTCTACTCTCAATAGGCTACACAGTATTTAGATACTATATATACAGCTCCCTGATTTCAATAGCTCATTATAGATTACTGCTTTGTGTTGTGGCATCCTTCAAGACAAGACCAGTGTCGCTTATCAAAAATTTCTGAACTACATAAGGAGAGTGTATAACTAGTGTGACAGTATTTATAGATATCAGCGCAATGGGATCCGTGAGAACGCGACAGGTGGTCGCAAGCGACTACGATGCAGTGGTTGAGATGTCGTCGGATGTGTATTCCGGAAACGACTACTTAATACCTGGTATGGAATATATATATATATATATATATATATATGTATGTATGTATGTATGTGTGTGTGTGTGTGTATATATTATTATTATATTATATATATATATATATATATATATATATATATATATA